TATGTATGTATGTATGTATGTATGTATGTATGTATGTATGTATGTATGTATGTATGTATCTATCTATCTATCTATTCAAATATTGTGCTAACGGTGGTTAAAAAATAACCTCAACAAACTGAAGGATCATTGGAACCATAATATTATGGTGCACCTAAACTAATAGGCCTAATCTAATTTTATTCTTTGTATAATTGAAAAGCGAATTGGGCACTTCCTTAGTGGCTATGCGCTATAGAAGTGAAATGCATCTTTTCTCATTCCACAGACTCACAAGTATTGTATGGATCTTTAGCCCTGGTTATGCAGGAGTTCAAGGCAATGAACATGCTGATAAGCTAGCCGGCCAGGCTGAGATTTGCGGCACCATGCAATTTGAATTAGATCCACCAACAGTTATGGCAGCATTGACAGCATGGTTCAACGACCACAGAGAGGATGAAAGCGCCACATCACACACAATGGAAAGACTAAGGGAAGCTGGTGTCTCTAGAGGGTCTGGGAGAGACAGCCACCTGCGTGGAAAAGCCAGAAGAATATTAAACCAGCTGATGACTGGCACGATCAGCAAGCAGGATTTGGAGGACCAGGGATATCCCAATACGGACAAAGCTGAGACTGAGAATTTTCAACTCAAATGTGAAGTCAGTCTTATTGTATGGATGTGAGGCGTGGAATGCGTCTCAGACGTGTATAAAGAGGATCCAGGTTTTCTTGAACAATTGTCTGAGGAAGCTACTGAAAATCAGATGGACAAACAGGATCACCAACGAAGAAGTATTAAGAAGAACGAGACAGAGCCCAGTCAGAGATGAAGCGGAAAAAAAGGCGTTGGCGATGGATTGGACACACTTTCAGGAATTCAAGCAGCTGCATAACAAGGAAAGTGCTAGATTGGAACCCACAGGGTAAAAGATCAAGAGGAAGACAACAGCGAACCTGGAGAAGAGTCACAGAAATGGATGTACAGAAAAGTGGGAAGACGTGGAGTGACATCAAGCGACTTGCTCACGATGGGGAAAGGTGGAAAGTGTTTCTTCGTGGCCTATATCCTGATCCAGGGGGAGAAAGGCAATGATGATGATGATGATGATGACTGGCACGATCAGCAAGCCGACTCTTTCATGGATCCTGGAGAGGAGGAAGGAGCAGCTATCGCATTGTGCCGCCTGCAATTATGCCTATTTTACAACCAAGTAAGTAAGTAAGTAAGTAAGTAAGTAAGTAAGTAAGTAAGTAAGTAAGTAAG